AAGTTTTTCTTCATTACCCATTCAAGCCGTCTCCAGCCATTATTAGTCTCAAAGTGGGTTCCTCGTCATCGAATTATGCTAAGTTTATTTACAGAGCATCATAAGAAAGTAGTTTAATTAAATTTTAAATGTAACTCATTCAAACCTCTTGACATCTGCACAAAATGATGCCCATTCTGAAAGAGACAAATGACTTTGAAATATCCAATTGTCAGGTTTCATACAGGGACCGGATTCTTTACAGTAGGTGTCTGTGACTTGTTGGCGATATATGTCAACAATAAACAGACAGTACACAACCCATTTGTTTTCAAATAATATATTCAAAACAAATTAAAAGTATGAAACTTTGTTGAATACTCTGCCTAAAAAATCTGTCAAAGAAGTCAAAAGTATGTACAAACATTCGTTTCACTATTTGTTATCAAGGTTTTATATAAAGCCTTAAATAATTTTTAGGTTAGTTTAGTTACTTTAGAACTCAATTGACAAGACGAGTTATTTTTCTCTACTCTGTTTCTTACTACACAATCTGTGATAAATTCACTTACGTCACCTTGTGGGTTACCACAGTTGTATCCGGAACTTTTCGTCAAAGTCCACACAGGCTGGTTTAATTACTATATAACACCCCTTGACAAGACAAAATTATTCTCCTTTCATCTCTGTTATTACAATACTACTGTGAAACTCACTTTAATTATTGCCTGTTATAGCTAAACTAATAATCACACAGTCTAACTTCACTTTCACTAACTTAACATTTTCTGACTTAACTTCAACTTCTTTAGAATTGCCCATCACAGCTAAACTGTCAAACACTCAGTCTAGATCTGTCTAATTATCTCTCTTTTAACTTGCTTTCTTGACTTCCTCTCTGTATCTGCACGTATTTAAAATACACGACAGAAAAATCTAAGAATATCTAGTCCTCTAGTGACAACAATATTACATACAACGAGAAAAACTTAGAAGCTTCGAATAAGATGACGTCCACAATATTATGAAAGCCCAGTACAACAATCAAACTGTGTATACAACATACGACTCGTAACGAGTTATGTAACGAAACTTGTCATAACTATCGCTTTTAAAATAATTAACTTTTAACACTCTTGTTATAAAACTAAATAATCATAAGTATAAAATAACTAAGTAAAAACTCTTAAACTAAACAATCTTGTTTATCCGACACCTATAATAGCCCCTACTAAAGTATGGATAATTTTTTTCTTGCGTGTTTACTCTCCTAGGAATGATTACGCCCTCTACATATATATATAATTGAGAAAGTGAGTATTGCAAACAGAGTTGAAATAAATAGTTTTTTAGAGTGTGAGTCGTCGAATAAACTACTAGTAGAATTATGCCTGTAATTCAAGTGTTAGTTAGAAATGAAGTTCACGATCACATTATTTGTTTTTCCGTAACACTGGATTATTCCCGTTAATCCAGACTCTAGACTTCTACCTGAATGTTGATAGAAATGTAAAAATAGAGCCTCAGAAACTGTTTATAAGGCATTCTAAAAAGTTAAACAAAAATTATTTATTCTTTATTTCTTAAGAGAAACTTCTTAGACTTGTTCTTTTTTTTACCTATAGCACCCCCTTCTGTGATCGATAGCCTTCCACGCATCCACGGAGCACCTAAAGATGCTAGTGACGTGAGCATCTCTTGTAGAATCGAATGTGATCCCCTATGTGAAATAGAATGGCTTCGTAATGGAGAAAGTATTATGGACAATGATTTGTTCTTTGTCAAGACAACAGTTCACCCAGAGGAGTTTCTAACAAATCGGTTTAAGTCTGTTGTTAGCACGCTTCACTGGAACTTCACGGGTGGCGGTTTGAACCGGGATACTGACAATGCCAATTACACCTGTCGGAGTAGTGGGAATATCGTGGGACCAGGGGTCTTTACGTCTACTTACTTTAAAGTAGAATGTAAGTTATGTCATTTTATAAACATACATACAAACGAATTAAATGTATGAGTCTAAGAAAACTATAGTCGTTAGAACAGTTGTTATACGTACAAAAAGGAAAAAAATGTCTGATAGTATAATAAACCAAACCCCAACAAATTGTTTATGTGTCCAAACTTATTACAGTAATATGCTCTTGCCAACAAAATGAAATCAATGAAAATATTTCATATAACAATATAATGATCGAAATTTTACAAGCTTTTAAAATAAACAAATTACTCTAGATTTATGCAATGATATTTCATGTCGCAAAGCTAGTTTTACTTTTAGAACTGGCCCGGCATGGCCAGGTGGTTAGGGCGCTCGGCTCGCAATTTGAGGGTTGTGGGTTCGAATCCCCGTCCCACCAAACATGCTCGCCCTTTCAGCCGTGGGGAAGTTATAATGCGATGGCCAATCCCACTATTCGTTAGTAAAAGAGTAGCCCAAAGTTGGCGGTGGGTGGTGATGACTAGAATTACGGGCGGCTAGCGCAGATAGCCTTCGTGTAGCTTTGCGCGAAATTCAAAAACAAACAAACTACTTTTAGAACTACAGGCCCTCTTAATAAAAAAAAATATTGTGCAGAAAATAGGTGTACGAAGTTTAAGATATTTATGTTCTTGAGATATGTGATTAGCAAAAGAGAAGTAAATAGCCTTGGAAATATGCATTAGTAAGCGCCAGTCAAATTTATTTCATTTTAGTCTATTTAGCATTCGTCAATAATAAGTAGCTTTACTTGGTTAGTTTATACAGAAACTTTTTCATTGTTAGTATTAAAACACACACATACACAAAGGAATGTCTTGACCTTCTATATGATTTAACAATGATAAACAAGAAAAAATATATGTTCAATAGCAAGTTATATTTCTAACACCAGTGAAGCGGAATGCGATACAAGAAACTTTATGAAAATTACGTACACAATCTTTAAAGTAAAGCCACTTCATGACCTAGTTACGAACCCAAGAAGAAAGCCACTGCTACTAAGTAGTATTTTGTATGAAAAGATCAAAATTTAAATAATTGAACTTATTAAAGTATCTATGAGTAAATTAACTGCTTTGCAATTATGCCTATGTTAGTCTTATTTATTATAATAATACTCATTTTTTGTCTCTCTCCTAAAAATTTGCACGCACCTTACTATCAAAATGCGCATTCGCGCGCACTTAATTTTAACGGATGTAAACAAAAGGCGAATGTAAATATACTTTAGTAGACATTTTGCACAGCAATATATTGAATGTTTGTCATTAGGTCATAGAATAGCATTATAAGTTTATTTACTGATAGCATTAAGTACGGTATAGTTTAGCCCGAACTAAACAAAAGCAAAACACGTACACAAGTTACATTATTATTTTATTTTTTTATAGTATGTAGTTCGTACTTAATAAAGGGTCAATTTCTGTTAGGCCTAAGAAAAGTGGACTTGCAGATTTCGGTGTCTGCGATTATAATTATTTTATATTATTCTAGAAATCTTGTATTTAAAGAAGTATTGTTGAAAATTTGGTAGTATTACTATATTACTGGATTTTTATTATCTACAATCGTACCTAATGTTACCAACAATGAACAGCTGTAGGTATCTTATTTTTGAAATATATATATATATACTGTTATAGGGTTTATATTTTATACTATTATACAGCGCTTCATAACAAGCATATGTTACTAGTTTTTATACTTATTCTCTCTAAAAGGTTAATAATCTGAGAGAAACGTTCTAGATCGTAATGGCGTTTTCTTTATGTTTTAGTTAAACATACATTTAAAATTTTCATTAAGATTTTGGGTAAAGTGCGGTGTATAACACCAAAATTAAGTTCTCCATAAACTAGAATGTCTGCATTTACCTAAGTTCGTGCATGCTAGTTTTCTTTTATTTTAGATGTTATAGTCGTCACCATATTTGGTGTGAGAATGAACATCCTGTGGTTTAACATATGGTACATTGGTGTAGGGAAAACTAAAAACGAAGGAGAGTTTAGTTTGATATTATTGCAGCATGGGAAATAAATGGTTAATTTGCTTCTGAAAGTGATTTTTCTTTTTGACGACGTAGGATAATTACAGTGTAAGATGTTTTTTTTTTGTAGTTATATGCTTTTCTTTTTGTTTGATGTCAACATTAATGCTAATGTTTCTTAGATTCTAACGAAGTTTTGGAGTGAAATCTTGCATCTCAAGAAATTGTTTCCTTTAATTTTTTGTGATAGTTTTGTTGATTCTTATTTAATGTCGAGCTATTTCCATACTATTAACCATAGTTGATGTCTTTCGATCATCAATATTAAACAATCAAACCTATAACTTTCTAAATCATATTATTTTCGAATTCCTTCAGCATCATTTTTATAATCACTTCTACAACATCTTCAATGCTCCCGTGAATATAGCAATTTTGCCACAACATGTATGAGCTTTGTTTTACACATTTCAGTTTACTTGCTCTACTACTGTGACATTCTAAATCTTTTCACTTCTCTCACCTAAAATACGTTATTTGTCCATGTAACATAATATAGAGTTATTTACTTGTCATATTGAGTCAAAAATTATGTGTTTCGCTGCAATGAACTATTTTATTTTGAAATCCTTGATCATTCAGATTGTTGCGGACTGCTCACCTAATTCTATGTATCAGACTATTAAGTTATGTTCATTAATCCACCCTGAAGATTAAAGTCTCATGTGGTGAGCATAAAAATTTTGAATTTGTAATTGGTATCCTATAAAATGAGGTCAAAAGGCCAAGAGTGAAGCAAAAGAAATCCCGTGGTTCACTTGCTTAAATGTGGAATAGTATTATAATTCTTCTTATGCCTTTATTTCATTTGCTCTTTGCAGTGTTCTCAAATCATTTCTTTCTTTTGGAGGAATACATATTAGTCCAGGAGAATAAGGAGGCAAATTATTGCTTATATTAGGGTCGGGAGAGGTGGGTCTTGGTTGTACGTGTCCAGGTCTTGAGTTGAACTGCTCTTCACAAGTTCTTGCTTTTTCTTCCAACGTCTGGAGTCGAGACAGTAAGGAAATTAACGTACTTTGTCACCTAAGCCTTTGGTTAGGCACTTGGGAAAAATATTCGCAAATGGGAATGTCTCAAATGAGAGGGTGAGACGTTCTGCGATTACATGGAACATTTAAGAAGTCATTATCCAGTGCTAATAATTACCACCACCTCTGGGTCAATAAGTCCAAGCGACAACCCGATGTAAAAATGGTGGTGAATAATGTATACCAGGCCTTGTGCAGCTGCATGTAAGATTAAGAGCATTTGTCATGAATTTTCACTAGCCTCTGCACGAGATAGTAAACAAAAACAAGTTAGTCTACCATAGTGGAGGGCACGGTAAAGGGTTATCTGTACATCTTTGTCTGGGTGCTTAAATAGATGCTTATGTGGAATACTTGTTCACATGAACAAGCAACATTGGATCTACTGCTAGCTCAGACCTCGAGACAGTGGGCATTGTTATGACATCAGCTGGTAAATTAGGCTATACAGTTGAATAGCTTTAATGATGATTCGACACTGTACGGAACCTATTTCAACATAGAACCTAGGCTCGGTTCATAAATGTGGATCTAATGAGAGTCTAGCTGCTTTTGCAGATGAGCTGGTCGTTTACACAGTAAAACACTCATAGTTCTGGCTGCTTCAGACCATAAAGATCTCTTTATAGATAACGTAATTGAATATCTGTCAAACAAAATGGAACAGAGGGATAGCCAGCAGCAATATCTACAGGTCTTCCCGACAGCCAAGAGCTAAGCTGCTAGAGGCTCCTGTAGCATCCCAATCAAGAAGTGTACCATCTCAAACACTAGAGAATATTAATATTGTTCCACTTGCTGAACGTTATAGAGATGGTTCTACTGCTGCTATTATTTACGCTTTGATCACCCCAACGAAATGTTAGACATGGCTATGGAGATGTAGTGCACTAGAAATGTGACTTCCTGCAGTTTGATTTTATGGCTAATCCAAGAAGGTGGCATCCACTTCATCCTATTATCAAACATCAACAGAAAGGTTGTAGTCAATCTATTGGAGTTGTCAGAGCAGCTAATTTAACTTAGCTGGTCCTAGATTAGATACGACCATTAGTGTACAACAAAGCAATAGTCATGCTTATTAGAAAGTTCATTGTCAATTGTACAGGTACTCGTGTGAGTAAAGTCTAATATATCCCTTTACAAGTAGATAGAAATCATATGGAGGTTTTAGAGACACGAGTGCTGTCCATATATTACTAGACCTCATAGTGTATCACACACTATCAATTAAATCACTAATGGCTAGCTTTCTTCTGGCAAATGAAGGCAATACGTAAATGAAAGAGGTAGAGATAACTTTATAAAATACTTGCTACTGTAGCTTAATAACGAACAGTTCTTCTGGGACTAGCAGCTAAAGAACCAGGGCATAGTGTAAGAGCTAATTGCAGTGGAGAAAGTAAAATCACTCACTTGCTCAGTGAAAAATACAAGAAGGAGTATGATATTGCTATTATCAATCAAGTAGATTTGGTACATGCACTATGAGACAACAAGTGTTTCCAAGGTCTCTGAGAAAAGAAATTCTACATACTTTACAGGTACAAGAATTAGAAGGTGTCAAAGAATATCTCATACTAAGCGCAATTTACTGAAATGGTTACTGACTGTTACTAATGTGGGGATATTAAACGATAATATAGATACTGCAGACTTATATCACTCAGAGAAAAGTAATGTTTATAACAGACAAAGTCGCGATACAGAATGAAAGGTTCTCCTATGCAGCACCTGACTGTGAATATAGTTAAACCTCTCCCTGCAACAGAAACACCAAACCAATATGATCTATTTGTAGTTAAACATATTTTATTGGACAGTAGAGTTGCTGAAAATATGTATTTCATCATATCATTTTCATTCAACTTGCGTGGTTGAAAGAGCCATTCAAGTTGATAAGAGATATTGATAAAGTTTGTAAACTCTGACCAGTTTTACTGCGATGATCACGTGTCTTACGTCACATTATTGGTTGTAAACCCAATCAACTTGATAAGCTATGGTACTGAGCGAAAGGCCTTAATGACAGTAGCATGCACTATACAAAATGTGTAGTTGAAATGCTATTATTTTTATTGATTAAAATGATCAATAGTATTGTTATAATGTACACTATTGACCATCAGATTTGTTCTTCGTTTATTTAGCAGTAGTAATGGTGTAACTACTACTTATTTTATGTTAGTATATGTTTGAGAAAGATCATTATTTTAATGAAGCCTATAAAATAATTTTGCATACGTAGAGTTTGGTTTTTTCTTTTCTTCTTTAGTATTGATTGTTAAAATTATAACCATGCATATTGTTATGATATTTTGACATAATGTAACTAACTTGGAATCCCCATAAGTTATAATTAGAGAAATACAGCTTAAGTTTAAAAAGGATGACACAACAGCGGATCACAGTTTGGTTTTAAAGCAAACGACGAATTACACAGTCTTATTTGAGCAAAAAGTTATTTTGGGCTGCAATGCGCGTACTTAGTAGGCCATTATTGCCGTCATTAGTTATAACATTTTAGATTGTATGGAAATAGAATCTACGAAATGGTTTTTAAAATTTCAAATATTAAAAGGCATAACTTGAATTTATATACAAAGGCACGACTTTATAATAAGCGAAAAGGGAACAACAAGGTGCAAATGTAAGTATGTCTAGGTCAGTATAGTTTAATAAAATGTGAAAGTTTTAAAAGGTATTATATAGATATATACTGAAGAACATGGGTTCATGACAAGGTAAAGAATGTTAAAGAGTTGAACTTATAAATGTATATTCTAAAATCTGAATTCCTGAAAAAGATGTTAGTAATTGAATGCTGTAAGCTTATGAACATGGTAAAAGTAGGCTTAGAATTGGTTTCATAGTGAACTGAAATGATAATTCAGATAAAAATATATCTATGGAAGTTAGCACATAGTCATAAATCAAGTTTCAAATCTCGCTTTTCGAAGATAATGGTAATGTGATGTTCCAAATAACAGGCATTGACTTCCTCGCTTATAGCATCCCCATAAGTGTAAGTGTGGAGCAGTTCAATGGTTTGTCGTGGCTTGAGTCCTGGACCTTCTGATTTGCAGCCTAATATGCTAACTGCTACATGCTTGGCCATTAAATAAAATATGATTAAAAGTGATCAAACAAAAACAACGGAAAAATTCACAAGCTGTATACCTGTAATTGTATAAATCTTTAGACAACAAATGAAAGTCATAAAAGTTAATGTGTTCAACTGTTTTAACCTAATCAGGTTAATATGGTTAAAAGTAATAAAATCTGAGAGTACTCTTGGAGGCGGCGCTTGCTTCTGACGGGTTGTCCACTCTGGTCAGCAGTTTTAAATTAGTGATGACTAAGCCTAAACCTTGGCCGTTTAGACAATGTGTAAAATAATTAGGCTTAACTTCGAAAATAGCATACTATATTCAGTGTGCTATGATGTAATGGTTGGCTAAGGTGTTCAAGAGAAATTGTTTTAAAACACTGTATGGTAAGGTACTTAGAAACGGCTATTATCAGTTATTTTATGTGATAGGATAGATTATGTGTCATAGTTTGTGTAATTAAGCTAGTTATAGTACTAGAATAATTAGCTAGTATCAGGGTATGGTGAGTTACGAGCGTTTGTTAGCTTTTTATGCGAGTTGAGTATTGTGTTATTAGTCTAACATTTCTCTCGTCAAACATGTGCACAAAATATTTAGCTTACTTACAGGATGTTTATAATAAAAAGTTTGAAATTATTTTGCTTTGATAATGTATTTTTGAGAGTAAACTTCGTGGCTTGTGATACTAAACTTTAACATAATTAATATTCAGTAATAAAAATTAAGAATTAATTTGTCATTCCTGCCAATACTGATTCGTTTTAGTATGTTTTCTATACTAACTTATGGATGAAAGTAGATATTAGTTGCTTATTCCAGAGCTAATATTGTTGCCCTTGATCTGTTGTTTACTGCGTAGCGATAGTATGTGGAGGACAAGTGGATTTAGTGCTGTACTCTGGTTAGTGTTGTTGGTGATGTTTTGTGGATGTTGTGATTGACGTGAAATTTCATGCTGGTTGTATATCCAAGGGCTAAATTAAAGTTGGACATAACAGGCACATGTTTAAATATTTCATTTTAGAGCTAAAATTAAAGGTAACGAGTCCCCAGGAAGGGGAAGCAAATTTACCTTTAAAAGGATGAAATGTTGAACTGCATAAGAGAGATCTTTGTTTTTATTTTCAGATCCACCGGAAAATATTACCCTGTCTACAACACGCATAGATGTCGTGGAAAGAGAAGTACCCGACAAAGTTAGCTGCAAAGCAGATTCTTGGCCTCCCAGCGAGTACATTTGGAAATTCTCAAACTTTGTTATAGCGGATACTTCGGAGCTCTTCCTAAATTACAGTATACCCCGTGAGAGGGCAGGTTTTTACGAATGTGTTGCTTCAAACAGACACGGGCAAGCATCGATGGAAACACTGATCAACGTTATGTGTACGTAAAGAATGTGAAGCATAAATAACTTTATTGAATGCAACCTTTATCATTAACGTTCAATTAAGACGGGCTATACTCTACATTCTTTAGTTGTTCTGACAAATATACAAAACAAGCAAGAGTAAAAAACTTCATATTGTTATTATTTTGAGTAATGCATATAAAATAATATTTTGATGTCACAATATATGCAGTGAGACTTTGTACGTATCTAATAAAAATTAACTAACATATTTTACCAGTGCAAACATGTTTCAGAAGTACATTTTAAACATTATAACCTAATTTATGGCTGGATTCTTCTCAAACTAGAATTTGAATGCCTTCTGTAGATATAGCATGTTGTTATCATAGAAGTTACGTTTGAAATTTGGCTACCAACACTGAAAACAATATCCACTTTTATTAGTGTGCGAACATTCTTAAACATTCATGATATATTCTACTTGTTTGTATGTACGACCATTACGCTTTCTGACCGAGAACCTGCTGCATAAGCATGCGTAGTTAGAATGTTTTCCCAAGAGAAACCGCGCATGCGCATTATTCACTCGACGACAAACAGTCTGCCTGTGGCAAAGAGCTGCAAAGCTCAGTGATCAAATCGCTACAATTGCTGTATGAAACAAGAAGTAATAATAA